GCATTTTCTTTTCCTTATTTCTTTTCCTTTTAGTTCATTTCTTGTGTTTATGTGCTTGTCTTTTTTTTTGGTTTATTGTGTTTAGTTGTGTTCATCTATTGAGCTTGTGTCAATATGTTTTCCTTCTATATACTTTTTGGTAAAGCAATGAGAACATTGCTTTGTTTGAAGTGTGGTGGAGGATTTTTCTTGATTATGCATGCTTATGCAGTGGTTCTTATGTTTTAGGTGTTCTATATTTTTTCTTTGTGCATCTTGGACCGGTTTTTGTTTTAATTCTTATGTGTCTGTGTCAGACTCTCCCATGTGAAGATTTAAATTTGGTCGAAATGGCTAGTTGTGAGTTGAGAATGTTGAATGGTTTTATTTTTAATTGTCGTGCCTTATGTACTTGATGATTTGTTTATTGATTTCCTAAATTAAATGATGGTTTGTTGGCATAAGCACCGACATTGAATTCACGAAATTATTTTGTCCCTTGTCCGTTCTCGATTAGTTCTCTTGAAACATGCTTACCTTGTGATAAATTGTAATAAATGTGTTTTACTTATACTCTTGTGGTACGTCTTGATGATTGTTATTTTCATGTTGTCGTATCCTTGTGTTGTCACTACCTTCTGAAAAATAAAATAAAAACAATAAAGAGTTCGCGAGGAAGTACAGATTAGGCTCCGCTTGTCTCGATCCACATCGTAGAGTGTGATAATGATTTCGGAAAACCGGTCTAGGAACCTCAGTGAACCCCCTCGCGGATACACCTTGATAATAATTGTCTGGAAATCTCGTTTGGAAAAATTGGCTCACGAAAAAATAAAGTTTGAAGAAAATGCGTTCATTGAAGTTGAAAAGGTTAGACTCTGCTTGACTCGGTTCGTCTCCTTCTAGATAGATCGGGGCGATGAGTACGGAAAACCTGCCTAGGAGACTCGGAACAAATCTCCAAGATTAAACTTAGGTAATAATTGCCGTAACAACTCTCATGTGGAAAAAATTGACTCATATCAAGAAAAAAAAAAAACCAAAATAATAATGAAAAAAGAGGGAGTTGACATTGTTGGTCTTGTATGTGGAAAAGAGAGTTTGAATCGAGTAAACCATGTGTAGAATAACTTGGGATGAATTTTTGTTTTGTATGAATTCATTTTGTGGGGAACGTGTCTTCGAACTTAATGTAATTATAAATATAACCGGGGGAAAGAGTTCCATCAAGCACGATTATTATTTATGGACATTTCGATCTTTCTTCTTGAACAACTTGTTGTTTTGCTTGCTTGAGGACAAGAAAAGATCTAAGTGTCGGGAGTTGTTTGCTATGTTTTTTTGGTGTATTTCGTGTGTGTTTTATGTGTTTTAGTCGAATCTTTTTAGGTTCGTTCTAGTTTAACCGATATATTTTGTCGTGTTTTGTGTATTTTTTCGTTCATCTTGTGTTTTTGTGTTTCGGCGTACTTTCTTATCTCTTTTGGTGTTGATAAGGTTCATTACGCAAAGTACAGAGATTGAGCCATTCAAGCCATCGAGTCGTTCGTGCCATTGTCGAGTCATCTGAGCTATTTGAGTCCTTTCCGAACCATTCGAGCTATAACTGACCCATTGCAAGTCAGTTCGGGCCAATGTTGGGTCATTTCCTTGCATCAGTCGTGCCCTTACCTGAGGTTGCCGTAGAGACCCACGAACTGAAGCCTGGCGAGACCCGAGCACTCGCAGAGAAAGCCCATCCACGAGCACGCAAGAGGCGTCTGGCGATACCCGTGCACTCGCTGCTAGCGACGACCCGCATCACGCGAGAGGCTATCCACTCGCTGCTAGCGACGACCCGCATCACGCGAGAGGCTATCCACGAGCACGCGAGAGGCGTCGGAGAAAGCCCATCCTTGCTTAGGACTTATAACTTAGATTTTTTGTCCTTCTTGCTTATGATATTATTCAAGGTAAAGTTGGTGTCTTGGCCGGAATTAAGTGTCTAGGCTCGGTTTTGGATCTTTTTATTTTTCTTGCTTGCTTAAGTGTATTAGGAGTTGAATTCATGATTATCTTGTGTTAAAAGGTTAAGACTTTGTTTAAAATTTGATCATTTAGGTAGAAGACTCAATTTAATTTTCTAGAATCATAATGCTAGTATGTTGCTCTTTGTTTTATTTTCATTTTTATCGAGTCGAGGAGACTCCAGGTGACCAAAGTTTGAATCTTTCTTCCAAGCTTGCATCTTTTAGTTAATTAATTTTTATTCCATTAGGTAAATTAGTCTTATATCAATCCCCAATCAATCTATTAGCATATCTAAGACTTTATTCTTGTTTTGTGCATTTGACAACGAATTAAGTGAACAAATCTTCGAATAGCCTTACTTGAGAGACAACCCGAGGTTCGAATAACTCGGTTATCAATCTACTCTCCTAAAAATCTACGAAACATAGCGTGAGGTGCGTCTTGAGGGTTGCCCTCTCACGGTAATTTCTCATCTAAGTTATTCAGGTCATTAACTTCACCACATGGCTTGTCAAGTCTGAGCATTCGGGGTGTTAGGGTCGAGTGTAACGACCGTTGAACCATGATATGACCCAACCTGATACCTCTAACGACCTAACTTATAACATAACCTGGTTTCATCAATCTAACTACATGTCTGGCTTAGTCATGGCTACAGGTCGACCCGGCCCGAAATCGTCCCATGGTCAACGGGCCTTTAACCGAGCCAGTGGTTTGACTAGGACGGTTTCGGTCCACAACTTTGTAATTTTTTAACCGTCGGACCGATCTCAACCCAGAATAGGTCGGGGGTTTGGCCTTTTTTTTTTATTTTTTAAAATTTTTCAATTGAACTGAGACGGTCTAGAACCATCGATTCACTGAACTGGCCTAGAACCGGCGGTTCAGTGAACCTGCCCGTGCCTACATCTAGGCCGTTCCGATTCCTCCAGACCGCGGCCCAGAACCGATGGTTTCGACCTTAAACTGGTCCGGAACCGGGTTTTGGACATGACTGGTCTAGCTATATTATTGTCTATATCATAATGTATCTATATAAATTCTTGTAATAATATTAAACGTACAAATGCGTACAATGCAATTTTGTAATAGTTTTATGTTTATACATTGTACAATACTCGTGTACCACAGGTGCTTATTAAGAAATTTATATTTAAAATTTAAATATAAAAAGAGTTTTAATTTCAAATATTTGTTCAAAAAAACTATATTATTATTTACATTTAAAAGTACACCAGTCACTTATACGACTTAACATCTTATATTATAACAACTTTTAAACTTACATCATATAACTAATTTGTAGTTAAATTAATTTATATATTAATATAAAATTAAATTTTTACTATTACATAAATAAATTAATTATTTATTTTTATGCACAATACAGATGTCAAATCGAAGCTTATCATGACATAATTAATTTGATACATTACATATAAGAATTTGATATAAAATAAAAATGTTACTAGATTTTAAATATAATTATAATTTATGTCAGTAAATTTTTTATAATTATAAAATAAAGATGAAGTAAAAGAATGATTTGAGAAAAAAGTATTCCTAAAATCACGTCAATAATAAAAAATAATATTAAAATATAATTAATATTTTTAAAAATGATCATGAATATCCAAGATATATATGGATATTCCAAAACAAGTTACTTTTGAATTGGAAATAAATTAAAATTCATGCAAGCCAAATGACAATGAATAAAAAATTGTCACATTGAATATTGTTAATTAATAATTAAAATTTACATTAATCTAATGATGATAAATCAATATTATATATAAACAAAGAGTATCAGGGTATATATATAGAAATCTCATATTTCTTTCCTTTTCAAGTTTCAAATATATTTTTTAACTTGCATTTTTTATTTGGATCCAAGTATCCTATAGCCAGTAGCTCCAGTAATTTACTTTATGAATAATTTCTTCTCAGCAAATATTACCAATTATGATATATTTAATTTACATTTATCCACAACTTCACTGAAAACCGAGAAAAAAAAAAAATTGCAACATACACGAGAAAATTCAAAACTAGTCTTACAGATTGAGGGAGTGCCAGTTTTGATCCCACAAGAAAGCAATAATCACAAATAATCCTACAACTTTCAAAAAGTAATCAAAAATAACACTTTTGATGTGATTTCGGGCCTGAAAGGCCCGATAACTCATGTGGAGCATATGTGGTGTTTTTCTTGACATGTTGGCAGCCTTTATCACATGTGGCATGACAGAAAATCTGTGGGACTAGTTTTGATCTTTTTTTTTCCTATTTTTTATATTATTAAGTAAATCTAAGACAACATTATGAATATATATAATTATTTGTATTAACTATTTATAAAAATTTAAATTATGAATAAGGATACAATATACATTAAAATAAAATTAAAAAATATTTTTGATTACTTTTATTTTGTAATGTCTTATTTGGCATTCTTTTAGCTTCTTTTTAATATTAAATTATTATAAAATTAAAAAAAAAATTATTCATCAAATAATTATTGCTAATATTTCTCATTCATGACATAATTTATTTTATAATTTTATTATTATTTAATGGAAAATATAGTAAAAAGGAGTTAACTATAATTACGAATAAAACTATTTTTGTAATTTTATAATAATTTAATTTTAAAGTTAATTTATTTTTAATGATTACTATATATTTTATTAAATAATTATAAAATTACAAATAAAAATAAATATTTCATGATTAACAATGTAAATAAAATAGACAAAATTTCAAAACTAGTCTCACAGGTTTTATGTCATACCACATGTGTGTGATAAAGGTTGCCATCAAGAAAAACGCCACATATGCGCCACATGGCTTATCGGGCCTTTCAGGCCCAAAATCGCATCAAAAGTCCTATTTTTGATTACTTTTTGAATGTTGTGGGACTATTTGTAATAATCGCTTTCTAGCAGAACCAAAAATGACACCACCTCAACATGTGAGACTAGTTTTGAATTTTTCCGCAACATACAAGTTCAGACCTGAATTAGTATCAACGGACAACCGGTAACGCCGCCAGAGCCTGGGACATCGTAAAGCAGCTCTTCAAAGCAATTGAACGGTGGCTGAGGGCTGACTCCAAACTCCGCAAGCGACACGTCAGCATCAGCCTCAATGAACAAAGCTCCCTCGCCGGTGCACTCCACCACCAGTTTCCTGCCGGTGGCCTCTCTCAGCCGCCCGGCCAATGGGTAATAGTAAACCAACGCCCTTGATACAGCCGCCCGGATAATCCCAACCGGGTCTTTTCCTTCCATGGACGGGCTTTTACAGTAGAACTGCATGACAGGAATCTGGACACGGAGGCCCTCTTGATCGTCTATGTCGGAAAGAGATTTGAATTCGTGGGGTGTGGTCTTTGCTGGCCGGAGAAGCTCCGGGTTTTTTCGGGTCACTCTAAAAGTCGGAACTTTTACGGGTAACGACATTTTTAAGCAAGGAGTGTAGGGAGGTGTCGTGAGCTTGGGTTAGTAGAAAATTAATGTGAAGCCACAATTTACAGGGGTTGTCAAGGGACTGTGTGCATCTCGCAGCAATGTGATTCACGTGCAAAACAAACTACAATTTTTGTAAGGGAAAGTTGAAAAAATCATGTGGTATATGCTTTCAATTTTTAAAAACGGGAGGATAAAGGATGAAAGGTGCGAATTGAATGGCAATGGTTTGTTTTGGTTTCATTTTATTTTATTTTATTTTTATTTTTGGGTGGGGGGGACATATTGTACGAGGTAATAAATGCTATACAACTTGGCATGGGACCATATAAGGACTAACAAAAGAATGTGCAATAAATATACTAGTTATTTTTTTGGTACAATAAAGAGAGGCCAAGGCCTAAAAGCTAGATATTAAAACATTTCGTGGGTATGCGACCTCGAGGATATCATGATGTATCAGTTGTCGAGCTTCCCCCGGTGGCTCGTCCAATAGCTGGAAGCCTGTGGGGCCACGTGTGGCCACTCTGGCAAGACAGTCGGCTAAAAAATTTGCTTCTCGGTACACGTGGATCAATTTCACCTCCCATGGCTTCGTCAACAAATCTCTTATGGACCTTATCAGCGAGCTATGGGTCCCATGCTCCTCACTGTCGCTTTGTATCATTGAGAGTACACTTAGGTTGTCTACTTCTGCTACAACTCGTCGATGTCCCCATTCCCATGCAATTTTAAGGCCCTGGTAAATCCCCCAAAGTTCCGCTCCCGTGATCGAGCAAAAGCCTATGTTCATTATGAAGCCCTTAATCCATCGGCCCCAAAAATCACGTAACGCACCGCCCGCACTAGCCATTCCCGATGTTGGGTTAAAAGACCCATCCGAGTTCACTTTGATCCATCCCTCCGGTGGAGGTATCCAATGAATGTCCACACGTTCTCTACCGACCCCAAGACCCCCCAACTTACGTTCACCCGTCCCAGCTACAGATACTATTCTTCTCCAATTCTCAACTTCACGTATAACTCTGCCCGCGCACCACGTTTCACCTTGGAAGATACGTCGATTTCGAGCGAGCCAAAGTCTCCACAGTGTTAGTCCAAAAATTAGCTCCCAATCGGCCATCGCAAATTTGCACGCGTTTGTCAAATGTATGATAAGCCATTCCTCCAAGTCCATCGAGCAAAAAGCCACCCAATTTTCTCCTGGAACTAACCTTCTCCATACTGAGGAGGCCGTCGAGCAATCTCGCAAAGTGTGGATCACAGTTTCAGCCTCATTGGTGCATATATCGCATCTGTTATCATTTGACATATGTCTTCTGTACCGTTCCACATTCGTGAGTAACCTCGTTTTCTCGACCAGCCACAAAAAATTTCGAACTCGTTGTGGGCCGTTCCAGGTCCAGATAATTTTCCATAGCCGACCCCGACTAGGATTTCCCAGACTGAGAAGGCTCTCATAGGCTGATTTTGTAGTAAATTTGCCATCTTGGGAGTAGGCCCAATACATGTTGTCCTCTCCAGCTTGCGCTTGTGGTGGTAGAATGGCGGCCACGCGCAGCCGCGCCTTGGCTGGTATCAGGTGCGAGAATTTATCCCATTTCCATTGTCCAATCTCATCGACAAACTCGGCCACTGTAGCATATAATACTTCCTCAGGTACCGGAGCTGTTGCAATACCAATTAATGTCTCCGAGCTGTTATGCCAACGGTCCCACCAGAATAGCACTCGTCGACCATTCCCCAAGTTCCATCTTACCCCACGGTATACATTTCGCCACACTTTGCTAATTGCCTGAAGGATAACTGAGCCTCGTTTAAACTCGAAGTTTTCGGTCATTCCTATCGGGTTGAGGTTGTACTTCGCCTTTAAGATTTTCACCCATAGAGCATCTCTATTCTTCAGGAAATTCCATCCCAATTTCATCAGAAGTGCCTCGTTCATCAGTCGTTGATTCCTCAAACCTAGTCCCCCACTGTATTTAGGCTGACATAGAGAACTCCAATCAACCAGGCTTACCTTCCGTGTCGACTCGGAGCCACCCCAAACAAATCTACGACATTTCTTTTCCTGCTCGTCACATACAAAATAAGGTAAGGCAATTGTTTGCATGGTATAGAAGGGCAAGCAACTGATGACCGACTGGACTATCGTCACCCGTCCGGCCATAGATAACGACTCCGCTTTCCAGCCCGCGAGACGCCCTTCCGCTTTGTCTAGTATTCTTCCGAATGTTTGTTTGTTTATCTTACCATGGATAAGAAGAACGCCTAGGTATCTGCCCAAGTCCGAGACCTCCGAGAATTCGAGCCTTCTATTAATTCTCTCTCGTCTTTCTGTCCCGACATTCTTCGAGAAGAAAATTTTTGTTTTCGAGGCACTTACTTTAAGTCCGGACGTGTGACAGAAATTCTCTAACACTCCCTTAATCACATCCGCTTGGTCCTCCGTCGCTTCTGAAAATAAGAGTAAGTCGTCGGCAAACATCAAAAACGGCACTTGTACTGCTCCTTTGCCAACTGATATTGGCCGCCACCGGCCCATCCCGACTTCTAGTTGAATTAGGTGCGCCAGTCTCTCTATGCATAGTACAAACAGATACGGTGACATTGGGTCTCCCTGGCGTAGTCCTCTTGAAGGCCGAAATATGTCACTCACTTCTCCATTGAGCTGAACCCGCATCGAGGCCGAGGAAAGACACGTCAATACACTTCGTGTAATATTCTCGGTAAAGCCTGCCAGTTGTAAGGTATTGACCACAAAGTCCCACCTTAAGAAATCGTATGCTTTCTCTAGGTCAACCTTCACTACCATAAATCCCTTCTTGCCTTTCTTCCCTCGCATAGTGTGGATCAACTCCTGGGCCACCACAACATTATCTGAAATCAGTCGTCCCGGTATGAAGCTTGATTGTGCTGGTCCTATCAAAGCAGAGAGCAGAGGCTTAATCCGGTTGGCCAAAACTTTAGTTGTCAGCTTGTATATGACATTCAACAAGCTAATTGGTCTGAATTCTTTTATTTCTTGGGGGTCCTCCACCTTCGGCACAAGTACGAGCAGCGTTTCATTAATCCCATCAGGCATAACACCACCATGTAGTATACGGCGCACTATTTCGCACACGGAAATGCCCACTCTCTGCCACTGCTTCTGGAAGAAAATAGCGTGCAAACCGTCCACACCTGGGGCCTTCAAAGGCGGCATCTCGCTTAAGGCTCGAAAGATTTCTCCATCTGAGACTGCCCTCCTCAATAGATCTTGTTTTGTGGCCACCATCGGGGGAAATAGATTCGGCCATAGAAAGTCTGGCCTTTGTGGGGCTTCTTCTGTGTAGATACTTCTAAAATAGTTAACAGCAATCTGTTGAAGTGTTGGCGGATCCTCCACGACCATTCCGTTCTCGTCTCGAAGTGAGTAAATGCGATTTCTCCTCCTTTGCGTTTTAATTCTCCGGTGGAAATACGCGGTGTTACGGTCGCCAAATAACATCCAATCACGTTGAGTTTTTTGTATGAGTAGGACTTCCTCTTGAAGCATAACTTCCTCTAGTTCTCTTCGTAATTCCTCCTCCAGTCTCATGAGTTTTGGGGAATGGTAGTTTTGTACACACCTTTGTATACCAGCCAGTCTAGCTAGTAGTTCTTTTTTGCGCTTGAAGATATTCCCAAATACGTTAGCGTTCCAACTCTTAATATTGTTGGTAAAGTCAATCACCGCTTCCACGAAAGGTTTCCCTTTTGGCCATACCTGGTTCAAGAAGTCGTCAAATTTTTCATGTAACAACCACGAGGCAAGAAACCGAAATTGTTTATTGTGTTGCTTTTTTCCATTACGTTGTTCTATACACATAAGTAGAGGGAGATGATCCGACTCCATGCGTGCAAGATGACGCACGATGGCTGGATAAGTTTGTTTTATATTTATTAGTACGTGTCACAACTTAGTTATTATTCATATTATTTCTTATATTTAATATTTTTTTTAAAACTTTATCTTGTTCCTTCACATGTTCTTAATTGTAGATTTGCCAAAAAAGACATAATATAAAGTACAGATTTTTTTCGATCATCTGCCTCATTATATATCAAATATTTGTATATTCTATATTATATTATATATGATTACAATTTTTTAATTAATATTTTAATTAAATATTTACAATTCATAAATTCATCAATAATATTGTCGAGTCAACTTTTGTTCATAAAATTTTTAAAAATATATTATTTTCATTGATTTTTTTATGTTGAATTGAGAAAAGTTATGTTTTTTTTAATTATATATAGGGAGGATATAAAATATGATGGCATTAGTATATTACCAATTTGCCATTAAAAACATGTGAAAGTAAGGGTTTTTTAGGTAGTTCATTTTTTAAATAAAAATATAAATAAAATATGATGTGTATTAGTTTATTACTAATTTGCCATTAAATTTATGTCAAAGTAAGGGTTTTTTAGGCATTATGAATTTTTACAAAAATACTCCTCTTTTAAAGTAGTATAGATATAGATATAGATATAGATATAGATATAGATAGATATAGAATAGATATAGATATAGATTATTATTAGTATTATTATTATTATTATTATTATTATCTCTCTTTTGATTTTAAAAATCTGACTTGAAGTTGTTGACATATCCTTTTTAAATACAAGTGCGGCCAAAATCTGTTAACAAATTCATATTCACATTCACTCCGCACATCAAATGTCATATGTTACTACATACGTATACACTAGTACAGATCCCGTGCGATGCACGGGGTGCACAAAATTAATGCTATTTATCAAATCTTGTAATTATATAAACGAATAAAGAAAATATAGGGATATATATAGTACGTGACCTGTAATAGGCCAAAATGCAAACACGGGTGATGCATGAGGTGCACAATTTTAGAGTTATTTATTATTACAGAGTCCGTGCGATGCACGGGGTGCACAATTTATAGTACATACTATAAAATCAGAATAGATTTCCATACAAT